TNTATATATATTAATTAATTATATATATATATATATATATATATATATATATATATATATATATATATATATATATTTATATATAAATATATGTTATTATTTTATTTATTTTTTTAATAATTTTTTTAAAAAAAAACTCAATTAAAAAGAAAAGGGCCATAAACCATTCTTTATTTTGGTTTGTGTTTTTTTAAATCAAAATACAATAAAAATTTAATTTAAAAAATAAAAATTAAAAAATAATATATATAATTTACTTCAATATCAATAAATAATTATAATAAATTAATTAAAAAATTTGAAAGACTAATTCTATTATTAATACTATAATCATTCAAAGAAAACACTAAATCACATATTCTTTAAATATTGTACTCTTAAATCATAAACTGAAGTATTTCTTTGCCATCTTTAATCAAATGGTATTAATTAGAAACTTCATTTAATACAAAAACAATATTTTAGATAGTTTCATCATCCATATTTTCAGTTTTTTAAAAAAGAATTTCTAAAATTTTTATTTTCGTTTATGTACACTCTTAACCTTATTCACTATATCCAATTAAACATTTACAAAGTATTTCTGCTGTAGAAAAAGAATACATAAAATTCAATAAATTAAACATAAGTGAAGGATTTGAAAATAATTCATCAAAAATATAAGAATTTTCTTATTAAAATAACATTAAAAGAACTTTTTTTACAAATCCAGCTAAAGTAAGATTTAAATTATCTTATATTGTTTTATTATTTTCTTATATTATTTAATTATTTTCTTATGTTATTTAATTTTTTTCTTATATTTATTATTATGGTTAAAAAAATGACATTAATAAATGAAAAAGATAAGCTTTGGGATTTTTTGTAGCTATTTTAGAGTATTTTTATTTATAGGAATTTTATTTTTGTTTTTTTTATAGTTTTTCTGTTTATATTTCTTATAGAATATTTTTCATGATTTCTTCGGCTTTTTAAATGTAAATTTTATCGATTTTTTATTCCTAAAATTCATGTTTTTTTTCTTAAGTTTCATCTTCTTGAGTAATTTCTTCTTCTTCTGATGAAATGTCGGATATTTATTCATATAGATCTTCATATTAGTCATTTTGAATTTATCTCTGGAAAATTAATTTATTATATGTTCATTATATGTACTTAATATTTCTGCTGATATAAATGGAAATTTGTATTTACGTGATTTACTATCTATTTAAGAAGGTTCTTCTATTATATATTTCACTAATTAGTTATAATCTGAATTGGTTAATCTTTTTTTTAAAAAAAAGAAAAAAATTATTTAATTTTTTTTAGAATTTTATTACTTTTATATTAAAAGCTAATTACATTGTTAAAAATATGAAACTATTTAATTGTCTTCTAAGAGATCTTCTAATATAGATTTAGGGTCTTTTAATAATTGATCAAATTATTAATCATCAGATTTTTCGATAATATCGAATGAATTCATTTTTTTTATATTTTTTAAAAATCTTGTTTTTTATTAATATATTAACTTTTTGATTTTATATTTAAAATTTTTATTAATATTTGTTTGTTTTTTTATTTTTTATATAACATATTTAATTAATTTTATTTTTTTTTTAAAAAAAAATATTTTTAGAAATAAAACATTATTTAATTTTATTTTAAACTAAATAAACATAATATAAAATTATTTTATAAATAAAATAAATATTAATTAATATAAAATAAAATTATCTTTTAAAAAGTAGAATTTAAATAATAATCTAAATACATAATAAAAGTAATATTATAAATCTTTTAAAAAGAAAAAAATATTAAATAAATAATTGTAAAATATAATTTAAAATTAAAAAATAAATAAATAAATATATATATATATATAAATAATATAATATATATATATATTATTTATTTATATTGACTTTTTTATCAAACTATATTCAATCTACATCTATTTTTGTTTTTTTATTTATATATATATATATATTTTTTTTATATAAATACCCTAATAATCCTTAACCTTTCCAATATTTAGGTTATAATTAAACTGTAGTTTTTCCATATTTTTAATTTTTATAAATAAATATATTTTCTTTCTATATATCTGATTTTCTAAGTATATCCACTTAAATGTTTTTATTTATATTTTGCTTTACATGATCTACAATATTTTTAAGATCATTATGGTTTTTATAATTTACACTCCCGAAATTAATTATTAGATCACCAAGTTAAATTCCACTTTCATGTGCAGGCGATTCTGGAGTAACTTCATTAATAATTGCGAAAGGAATTAAAATATTTTTTAAATTCTAATCTTCTAGATCTTGTTCAGTTTCTTCTAGTTCCATTCTTTTTTTGTTTCTTATTTTTTTACTAATTATCTATTATTTTCATATTCTTCAATTTCTTTATCTGCTTATCCTGTTTATGCATATATATCATGTAACTGATATAAATCTTTAAATTTATTTAAAAAAATATAATAATATAAATATTTAAAACTTTTTTCTATTTAGTTCATTATATGTTTATAATCATTATTTAATTCATTAAATTTTTTCTTTAATAATCTATATTGTGTTAGTTCTCCGAAATCTAAATCTTATCGTGGAAAGCCTTCTTAATCGATTAAATTTTTATCATATCCTAAATATAAAATAATTAAAGAATTTTTAAATATAAATATTAAATTTATAAAACCTTTGCTTTTATAATTGTCTAATTCCATAGTTATAGAATTTATTTAATTTTAAATATCTTCTCTTTATTTATCAAGTTATTTTAAAATATTTTCTTATAGAGTTGTCATTTTATAAATTTTTATATAAAATATTATTTAATAGTAAAATATATAAAACTAAATAATTATATGAAATAAATATACTATATAAATATAAATATAAATAATATATATATATTTATATTTATATATTTATTTTTTATAACTTTTTTTATTTATTTATATTTTTTTTCAATAATCTTTGCTTGGAAATTCATCAAAATATTTACTACACCTTAAAAAAAAAATATATTTATATATTTATTTAATATTTATTACTTTATAAGCAATGTTTTTTTTTCTTTAATTAAATTATCAATTTTACCCTATAAATCTTTAATTTAACTTTCATATTATAATTTCATCTTTTCTTCTAACTAAATAGTTTATATAAATTATATACTTATCATATACTATTTTATATATAAATAACCCTATCATGAGTCTATAATAAATCAATAGCTTATTCTTTTTACTTTTTATCTCTTTTATTCATTTCATTAATTTAATTTTATAAATCTTAAATCTGAGAATTACTGATATCTTACATTTAAATAATTTTCTCATTTGATATTTTTTTAATTTTCGCTATTTCTTCAATCATTAATTATTTCTCTTTCAAAAAATTATTCAATTTTGAATTTAAGGCTAAATAATCTTAATTTAACTTTTAATTTTCTTATCTATATTTTTCATTTTAACTTTTCAATTCAGCAATTAATACTGCTGCGTTTTTCCAATTATTTTCTATTTGAGATTTTTCTAATTAAACAGTATTTAAAATATCATTATGATATTATTCCATGAATTATATTTTTTCTTCTAGTTCACTTATTTTTCCTTCATATTAGTTATTTTTATATTTTTCATTATCGCCATTTAATTCTTCTTTTACTTAAGAAAGTAATTTTTTATATTCTTATTATAAAGCATTATTTTCCTTTAATAATTTTTCCCTTTCTAAATTTGTATGAATTAATTATTCATTTAAAATATTGATTTTTTCTTCTTTTTCATCATTTATTTTTTTTTCGTGATTTTTCATATTTTAGATTTGCCTTTCGAAATTTTATTTTATTTGGGAAATTTCTTCTTTGTGATTTTGTAAAACTTAATTTTGATTTTTTTCCAAGTTTTATTTATCAAGTTCAAATCTTCCCTTTTCGAGTAAAAAAAGGTGCATTTTTTCTTAATTTTCCTTTTAAATTTTTCCTAATTATTCTTCTTTTCTTTCACAACTTTTTAATTTATTTTCATATAAATTTACCATTTAAACCATTTATTAGAATTCTCCTATTTTAATATCTCTCTCTTTTTCTAATCTTTTATTTTCCTCTTTTATTACTTCTATAGTTTTTTCTAATTAAATTATTTTCTATTGTAAAGATTTCTCATTTTATTTGTTTCTTTCGTTTTCTTGAGTATTACTTTCGAATTATTCGGAATTTTTCATTTGTATTTCTTCGTTTATTTTACGTAAATTTGCCAGCTAACTTTTTAATAAAAGTATTTCGTTTTAAGAACGACACATTTTACTTTAAATTTCTGTAAATTCTTCAGTTTAGGAAGTTATAGTAGTTTCGTTTTCTGTATATTTAGATTATAAGGCTTCGTATATATTCACTAAATCATCGTATTTTAATTGAAGATTTTTTAAATAATCAGTTTATTCTTAATATTTTTATGTTACAATTAAACATTCTTCACTTTTAGAGTCAAATTAAACTAACATTTACTTATGTTTAGCCTTTTTTATTTAATTTTTTTTAATTTTTTTAATTTTATTTTCAATACACATATTTCTGTAAATTTTTGCAAAAATTCAGTATTTTCTTAAGTTAAAATTTTAATTTTTTCATTTAAATCATCTTTTTCAAGTTTTTCTTTATATTTTTTTTTTATTATAAGAACATATATATTTTTATTTATTTTTTTCCAAAAAAATAAAATTACAATAAGAATTTTAAATATTATTAATTGGATTTCCATTTTTATATAAAGAAATAATAAACCTAAAAAATAAAAAAAATATAAAAAAAAAATATTATTTTTTTATATGAAATTACTAGCATTTTTTCTCTAATTCTTCTCTTAAAGTATTATTATCTTAAATCAAAAAATCTGCTTTCTTTTACATATCTCTATAATCTTCACTTGTTATTTCTAATAAATGCTCCAATTATTCAATTTTATCATCATAAGCATTTAGAAGCGGTTCTATAAATGCTATTTCTTTAGTAATACTTTATATACTTCCGTTTGGAATATTTAATATATCTTATTCATTTAATACAAAAGGTTGACCTATATGCATCTTTTTTTATAATTAAATAAGTTCTTTCCCTAATCTTGTATCTTTTTTTGTTTTTATTTTCATTATTGTATTTCTGTTTTTTTTACTTATATTATCTAAAAAAGCTACTTCTTTTTTTAAAACACTTATTTCATTCATTAAATGTATTTCTGAAGGCTTTTTGTGTGCGAAATCTTATTCATTTCCAAGAATGTTCTATATAACTGAATTTTTAATACCTAATTTTTGTTTATATAAAAATAAAGGTTTATTTTATTTTTTACATAAAAATAAAATAAAACTATACCACTTATCATTTATAATATATTTTTATTATTGAAAAAAAAAAAAAAATTTAAATTTTTTTATTAATTTAAATTATGAAAGAATAAATAATATATATATATATATTTAACCAAATAAATTTATATATATATATATATAAATTTTCTCATTTCTTCGAAAAATACTTAAACATATCATTTTCAATCGGATGTAGTTCATTTGCACAAATAACCAACGAATGCAATGGTCCACCCATATCATAAGTTAAAAACTCCTCTAAAGTACCTGCTTTAATAAGCTAGTTACTAAACCCAACTCTTGCGACTGCCACACATTTAGTATTTTTATTAACTGATCCTGTTTTATTAACACTTTCAGCTTCTAAAATTTACTCTATGGCGACTTGGCAACTCATATATTTTGGTGGTTCGTAAATTTTTTTATTTTTTAGAATATTTTCATCAGTTCTTTCTTTTACTCTAATGTCAAGTAAACATAAAGTATGTAACCCGTGTTTTATATTTGCAGAAATTTTATCATAGAAACTATATGGACGCCATTTTTCAGTATAAAAGGGTATAGATACAATTTCACCGAATCTATATACTTACATTCCGGTAGAACCTATTGCATTTATAATAGATGCGTTGTGGATGACTTCAACTTTTATACCTAATTCGATTGCACGTAAATATGTATCGGAATGGGTTGTTGCACAAAAAGGATCTCCTACCACTAAAAATGCGATGTTTTTTTCGGGAATTTTTGATAAGTCTTCGAGGATTTTATCGATGCCTTCTTCACACATTTCACGGTCCGCCATTATTAGTTGACGACCGTAAAAATTTTCTAGCTTTTCCTTTTCGACACCTAATATACTTGTGTAATGTTCTAAATATATCTCGTCACAAGATTTTATTATTTCTAAACCTTTTACTGTTATGTCTTTTTCGTCACCAAGGCCTAAGCCAATCATGTAGAATACCATGTTATTATTATTTTGTGTTTTTTATTTTAATTTTATACTCTTTAATTTTTTTATTTTTTTACATATATAATTATTTTTGTGTTTTTAATATATTTTAATTAGTTTAATATATTTATATTTTTTTAAACGATAAATTATTTAAATAAGAAAAAAGAAATTGTAAATTTTTTTATTTAATTTAATAAATATTTTTATATGAAAAATATATATATATATATATAAAGATCAATTGTATTTTAAATTAGTGAATAATTTAAAACATTAAAATAAATTAAAACAGTAAAAAATATTCATTTTAAACAAAAATAATTTTATATAATTCGAATATTTAAAATCAATTAAAAATAAAACAATCTTTATCTTAATTTTAATGTTCTTATTTAAAAATAAATAAATATAATATTTTAAAAAAATTAATAAATCAGTTTTTTTGATGATTTTCCGGATAAGCGAAATGTCCAAATAAAATAATTTTTTTTATAAAAAAAAATGAAAAGGAAATAACTTTTTTTATTCTAAAGATGTTTTGTCCTTTTTTAGGAAAATAATATTTTTTTGAATTAATATTTTTAAAAAAAAAACTTTATTAAAATTTTAATTCGAGTTCTTAATTTGAGGTTTTTGGGGAAAACTGAAAAAAAATAAAAAAATAAAATATATAAATCAATTGATTAAAAACGTTAAAATAATAATTTTAAAAAATTATATATGATTTCTAAAATAATTAAAAATTCGTAAAAAAATAATTAAATAAATCAAAATTTATAAAATTAGATGACATAAGAGGAAATTAATATTAAATACATTTATAAAAAAGGACAAACATTGTTCAAAAATATTCAATAATTAAATATGGTTATATATGAGAAACTATTTATTAAAAAAGTGATTATACATATAATAATATGAAAAAATAAAATAATTAAAAATAATACTATAAGTAAAAATAATAATATTATGAAAATAATTTTTATAATATAAACGACTTTAATAAAGATTATTTTTCTACTTTTTATGAAAAAAAACTTACCCTTTTAATCAAAACTTAGATAATTAAATTTAGAAAAATAAATAATATAAATTATTAGTTCAAATAAAAAAATTATTATAAAAAGGAAAATTATATAAAATATTAGCAACTATATAATAACAAAAAATATTTAATTTATTATATAATTGATAATAAGTAAGTTTATATATATAAGTACTTAATAATTTATTAATTTTAATATAGTTTATATATTTTTATAAAAAAAAACGAGATCTGTATAATAATTAATAAATATTTCTTGTAAATTTATTTTTATAATTATAACTAAATCATATATAATTTAATCCTATTTTAAAGAAGTTATTAATAATTTAGTAGTATTTTATCAAAGAAAAATATTTATTTTTGCTTTATATAATTAATAAAGTTTATTATTATATATATTAACTATGAATAATTATTTTATAAATTTATATTTAATTATAATTTATTATATTTTAAATAAAAAAAATTTAAAAAGTTTAACTTTATATATTAAATTTTTTCCATGAAATAATCTTTTTTGAAAATATTTAAAAATATAAGAAACGAAATTAGCTTAAAAAAAAAAAAGAACTAATTTAGAATGATTTAAAAATAAATAAAATAATAAAGAAAAGAAATGTTTAAAATATTTTTTTAATATTTAATTAAAAATAAATTAATAAAATTTATTTTTAATTTTTTGAAAAAGCTTTTATTTTTATATCTTATTAAATAAATGCAATTTATATTTATAAAAAAATAATTATATTTATATTTTTTATTTATAAAAAAAAGAAAAATTTTTAAAAAACTATTCAAAATCCAAGCCTTCTAATCCAATTTTCAACAATTTCTTTATGTAAACCATTAATTTCAACTCTTCCTACTTTAACATGAATTTCTGAATTTGAAACAACTTTTTGTAATTCTTCCACAAATTTATCGATATCCCCTTCTATTAATCTTACTATTGTTCTTTTTTATTATCTTGTAGAATTATATTTTCTATACACTGGTAAATTGCCGGTATGGGTTCTATTAATATAAAAGGGTAATTCTTATTTTAACCCTAAGCTTATAAATGAGTTAATATAAGAATCATTTTAAGGTAAATCCTATAGTTTATATGTTAATGGCTTTGGTGCTTATGTCATTCTATTTTATATTGCCTTTATTGCTGGAAAAATTTTTGTTTTATGAGGTGGTCTTAATAACATTGCCATTTAAACAGCTTTTTTTCCTGATATATTATTCATTAATATTTTTTTTATATTTATGTGATATTTTTTTATATATTTGATATTTAAATAAATATATATTTTATTTTAATTTAATGTTTTTTATTTATATTTATTATATAATTGACTAACCTTTTTGTTATTATAAAACTAAGTCTAAAATCTTTTTTTATATATATTAAAATAAAATATTTTTAAACAATAAATAAATAATAAAAAAGAGAGAAATTAAAAAATTTATGAGTATTATTTTTGATATTTATTTATTAATTCATTTATTACTAATTCGATAACATATAATATATTAGTAATAAAAAAAGCATCATATTAATTTGATATTATAAGGCTTAATATTGGGATGAAACTTTCCTATTCCTACTTCTTTGCATTATTGTATTTCTTAAAAATTAATAGGAATTCTGAAATTTTCAATAAACAAATGAAAATTATAAGCAGTTTTTTTAAAATTATCTTCTTATATATAATGACCAACATCTTAAATTACAACCAATTTAAATTTTCCTTACATCTAAGCAATAGTTAATTCTTTATCCATCCTTTCTTTTTCTGCAAGCATTAATAATTTTGGAATTTAAACATCTAAAAATGCACCA